ATTTTGTTAGACAAATATTCTGGGACAGATCCATATAAACATTTATGAACATATAAGGCCTTGTGGTAAATTACACGATCAGTAAATCCAAGCCATAATAACTTTTTAAACATTGTATTAGATTGGGTATCATAAGGAAGTTCAAGAATAATTCTAGCTGCTCGTTTTTGAAGTTTATCTAATCTATTTGTATTTTGGTCACTGGTGTTTCCCCAAATTGTACAACAGTAATCCAAAATAGGGAGAATATAACCATTAAAGTATAACTTTCGTGTTTCCAGGGGGAGGGATTTCTAAATCCTAGACAAAAGATTAAGCCTGGTACCGATTTTTGTGCACAAAGTGTCAATTTGGGCTGTCCACTCAAAATTTTCATCAATAAAAACCCCTAGGAGCTTTTCGCCATTAACATCTCTAATGTGGGAGTTACCAACAGTCAAATTAAGAACATGGTGTGTTTTTGCTAGTTTCTGTCTAGAACCAATAACCATATATGTAGTTTTTGTTGGATTTATATACATCTTATTTCCCTTGCACCATTCTTCAATTCTGTCTAAATCATTTGTAATGCTGTCCTGGATAGTATTGAGACTACGACCTGTGCAGTGAATGGTAGTATCATCTGCATAGAGGTCTGCTTGAGATGAGGTTATATGAAGGGGCAAATCATTAATGAACAATAAAAATAAAAGGGGGCCTAATATGGAGCCCTGAGGTACTCCAGATTTTATTTCTAGTGCCCTTGACTTGATTGTCCCATTTTCAACTTGTTGGAATCTATGAGATAGATATGATTTAAACCAGTTACATGATAAATTTGAAATTTTGTAGCACTGCAGTTTTTAAAGAAGGATAATGTGATCTACCAGATCAAATGCTTTTTTAAAATCTAGGAAGATAATACCTATAATTTCTCCATCATCAATGGCTTTCAACCACTGATCAATAAGTTTTAGTAAAGCAGTGTGACAAGAGTGGTGGCTTCTAAATCCAGACTGACTTGCATGAAGGAGCTTATATTTTAATAGGTATCGGTATAGGTGTTTGCAGACATGCTTTTCAAAAATCTTTGAAAGAGTAGGCAAAATAGATATTGGTCTATAGTTGTCGACAGTATCTTTAGGACCCTTTTTATGACTTGGCATGACACGGGCATTTTTAAGCTCAGAAGGAAATATACCAGCAGTGATGCTCCTATTTATAATATAAGCTATTGACGGTGAAATAACTTCTGATGATAGTTTAAGTATGCGAGGACTGATCTGATCAATGCCTGTAGCTTTTGCAACATTTAAATTGCTAAGGCAGTCCTTAACTTCTGCAACTGTAATCAAGGGGATGTAAAACCAAGTATCTCGAGGTACTTTTGCTGCTACCTCCTCATAAATCTTATTACTATCAAATTTGTATGATTTAGATGTTGATAGGCTATCTTTCGGGGCAATATTTTTAAAATGTTTGTTAAAAGCATCAACTATATGCTGAGTTTCTATATTTTGAACAAGGATTTAATAAATAGAAATAAGAAGATGTGGTATGAGTGCCAATGAGACAACTCTGCATCCAAGTCACAATGTGTAAAAAGTAAACAATTATAGGTCAAAGTACGGCCTTCAACACAGAGCCTTGGCTCACACGGAACAGCAAGCTATACAGGGCCCAAAAATGACTAGTGTAAAACAATTCAAACAGGAAAACCAATGGTCTAATCTATATAAAAAATGAGAAACACTTAAGAACCACATCAACAAACGACAACCACTGAAAATAAGGTCTGAAAGCTAATAAGTGGAGTAAACACAAGTTTTTTTTAATCTTTATGAGGTGCCGATTTGTCTAGGTGCCGATTTCTCCTGGTCCATTAGTCTTGGTGCCAAAGTGTCTAGAATTCATCAACTTGAACTGGTGCACCTAAGACCTTTGCTTAATCTTGAACAAACCTATTAAATCATTAATCAGATAATATTTTGTGAACAAATTCATGACATACTTTATTTATAAAACTTTCTCTATGGAGGACTTGCAATTCCTATTTTTTCCCGTAAATTTCTTAAATCACAATGCTAATGTTATTACCCCACAATAAGAAACCAATTGTTTGATGACATTATTAACGCCGATTGACCTCGTGTCACCTGGTGTAACTCATTCAAAAAAACAACTCCAGATTGGTGTATACCGGTAGATAGTTTTAAAAAATGACCCCAACTTTCAAGACCTCTCAACTCTTCATCTACCACTGACAGATATATAATATGCAGTTTTTATCATTTGGACTGTCAATAATCTGTTTGAAGTGACGCTGTGACTGATAAATCTGCTTGCATAAGCAAGTGTGTATTTGCATTGACTGATATATTTGTTGTAAACAAACGTGCAATTCTGATGACAGATATTTCCGTTAAATATACAACTGTTAAATTCCTTAAGATTAAACTAAACTTCTGGGGAATCCTGAAATGAACCAATGAAATTGGTTTCGTAAATTAAGAATCTTTCAACTGGTACATTTCATTTCTTTAAAATGATTGTGTTTACATTAAAAATCTATAAAATTGTGATGAATTTTACACGTTTTCGGAAAGTAATTAAACCAATGTCAGATGAATGGGCTCCATTCTTCGTAATCGGAAGACAACGGTGAATAATTAGAAGGATTTACACAATCAGATATTGACGAAAGCTAAGTTAGAAGTGTAGGGAGTGATGTTATTTTGTCGTAACCAGATTGAGAAAATAATTGGAATAATCCCCAGATATGAAATTTTCAGATCCGTTTAGGGCAGCTCTAGATCTCCAGTTTGAAAAAGAAAAGAAAGAAATTGATTTTGTATTTGTTTTATTTTTTTATTCTATACATTAATTATTGACTAATTGAACATTTAATTAGAGTACTTATATCACAGCAGTAAAAATTCTCTCACTACAAATTATCTGTGGAAGTTTTCTTAAAAATCAGCTGCAGTAGTTATCTAATAACCAATGCAATGTGTTGTTGTGAATTGTAAAGGTGCCTGTGGTAGGTATTGTAAGATGTTAAAATGATCGGAATTGTGGGTAAAATTTCTGGATCCTTGGTTAATGTGCCTGAAAATTAAAATAAAAAACCAGCAAATTTGATAATTTGTAAATGATTACCTAGTTTGATTGGATAAAAGATATCTTGTGATTATACTTACATGTACAATCATAATCTATAGTTTTTATTTAAATTTTATCAAAGCAACTTAAAATTTTAACTTGAACATTGATTTTTGTACTGCATCAGTTGAACTTTCTTTGTCTATATTTTTCAATTCAGTGCTGTTGTTGATAAGAAGTGTATGAAGGGGTTTTTGTCAATTTTTTCAACCTTGTTGAGCAGACATCATAAAACCAAGGCATTTTTGCTTTGCATCATGCTGTAAACAGTATAAGGTCAGGTGCTTTAATTCTGTCACTTAAAGATAGTGTTTACATATATCTTTATTTCATTGTACGATGTAGGAACATTTATAACCTAAAAAGACAAACATCATTGAAATTAACTATTTTTTTTTTACTCTTGACACCTGCAACAAAAGTTGTAGATTGTGAGACATAGGGGTGTTAATCTTGTAACAGTAGCAATGGTGTAAAGTAATTTTATAAAGCTTTATATTTCAGAAGGTATACAGATGCTTATTAGCCCTTTTGTTATGAACTTTCTGTCTGGCATATGTCCATAGCCCTTAACCTCATTTTCATGGTAGAGCAACTGCTTAAAAAAGCAAACAGGTTTTTTTTTGTCAAAAGAATTTCTTATGTGTAATAGGATAACTATATTTGGGATATGCGATCCTTGCAATGTCTACAGGGCCGGGGGGTTACTGACTATCATTTCGGGTACAACTGTGCCGACAGCACTTGCCAAATCATACCCTATTCTAACCAGAAACATTGAGAAAAATACCCTGTTCTAAACAGAAATATTGAAAAACATACCCTGTTCTAGACACACTCAGAAAATGTATACCCTGTTCTAGACACGCTAAAAAAATGTATACCCTGCTCTAGACACGCTAGTAAATAGAAATACGATAGTTTGGCATATTGTTAAACTGTTAAAGATGACAGTTGTTAAAATATGCACCGGGAATGATCCTGTTCTAGACCGTTTAAAATAGATGCTGTTCTAACCCGGGTTCTAGACTGTAACTTAAACAGTTAAATTAGCGATCCTGTTCTAGACAAATACTTTGTTTAAAAAAAGACCCTGTTCTCACCAGCAGGGCATGAAAAAGCGACCCTGTTCTAAACAGCAGGACATGAAAAAGCGACCCTGTTTTGCGGCACACTCGTACCACTAAAAATATAGGAAGTAACCCCCCCCCCCGGGCTACAGGATTCACCTGACCTTGACTTCATTTCATTGTCAGATCAGTGATCAAGGTTAAAGTTTTTGTGGTCAAGTCTCTGCTCAGAAACTCTATGCAATTGGTCAATTATATTTGGTGTATGGAGTGATTGTAAGGTGCACATGACTGTCTGGCAGGTTTCATCATATTATGACCTCATTTTCATGCTTCATTGGTCAATGTTGAATTTTTTGTGGTTTGGTCTGTTTCTCAGATCTTTAAGCAATAGGTTAATTTTATTTGGTATATGGATTATGGAATGATTGTTACTAAGGTGAAAATGTCAGTCTGGCAAAATTCATCTGACCGTATCCTCATTTAATACATGGATCATTGATAATGTTAAGTTTATGTGATAATTGTAGCTAAACCTTTATCTTAAACACTTTCAATCGTGATCAGGAGGGCAGGCAAGACATTTTAGTGTGTGCACTTTTGTTTACATACTTATCATAGCTTCATTTCAAGTGTTTTTATAAGTGAAATGAACAAGGTGCCGGGCATCATGGTAGCCTTATATATATTATTGTTAAAAGGTTTCATCATGATCATAGGATCTATAATGCAAATACATATATTTCAAGGTATTGCCAGTGAGATTTCACCAATCATTTATATTTTAAGGTATTGACTGTCACCATGTCAACAGTGAGTGATAATGTACTGTTCCAGTCAGAAACAACCAGGAAGTATGATATCCCTCTGACTCATCTAGATTACCCATACATACAGAAATGTACAGACACAAAAGAACTGGAGAGAATACTAAAAATCCTTAGGTATTTATTTAATTCATTTAGATTCTTCCTTTAATATCAAGAAAATTTAAAAGGTCATAATAACGGGAATCCTTGCCTAGATAATTCTTTGACTCATCACTAGTCAAACTTTTGAATGTAGGACTCCTTTTTCATAACATCAATAAAAACCTGATAGGTATGATAAAATGGTGTTGTGACCTTATTTATGATAACATTCACACCCTTTTTCACTACAGGAATCCAGGAAAAATGTTATCACTTGTTGAAACTCAAGTTAAAATAATTGAGGAATTTGAAAAGAAATTAGGAATTTTTGGAAAAATAAAAGGATCATTCAATGTACAACGTGACCATTGTGATAGTGGCCTTTGACATCTAAAAATAGCTACAAGTGCTAAAAATAACTTTATGTAACTGTGGCACAATTTGATTTTGCATCTTTCTTCAACGTTAAGATTTTATCTATCTAAGTTGGAAACAGAATATAAGCTCAATTAAAATAAGAACAATTTAATTGCGGAAAATTTAGGGAGTTGGTAATTTATTTTTACATGTTTAAAAGATAGACTTTTGTACTGTGCCTATTTAAAATTTGAATCATAAATAAGTCAGAAAGTTTGCCGATGTTTATGTAAGATATTTTTATAAGGGAAATTAAGGAATTGTTTAAACTTTATTAAAAAGAAAAGAATTTTTTTACGACCACACAGTTTGCAACGTTTACTGCTAGTTTCATGATGAAAACCGTAATTGCCAGAAAGACGAAATCAAACTAATTTTAAAAACATTATTTTACTTAAATTCTGTTAACAATGTTAACTTAGACATATTTAGTCTTTGCCTGGCCTCCCTTCTGAATATAAAATGACAAATCAATTGGACATTGCATTCACTTCAACTGTGTGTCATCCTCTGTATAATCCTCTGAAGAACTAGGAGCACTCCTGAATACAAGAAAGATAACTCAACTATAATTTTTCCTAGTATTGAAAAACCTAGTCAAGATCTGTCTGCATACTTTTGACTTTAGAACTTAAAGGTTTAGGAGGTCTTAGTATAATGGTGCAAAGTTAAGAGGGACTTGGTTTTAGGGAGGGGGATAGGGTCGTCATTTTCTGTATTTATATTTATACAAATTTTCTCTGTATTTTTAAGCACTCATTATTCTCTCTTCTTCATTTTTTTGCCAATTTATCTATATTCTTTATTTTCAATTTTGAAATATTTTCTCTATTCTGAAGCATATACATGCAGACCATAAGCTTATTATAAGAACAGGAACTTTGGGCTACATAACCTTCTCACTAAGCAAGGTTCCGACACAGTTACAAAGTAAAATTATGTTTTGCAGATTTTATAATGTAATAAATAATCAACAACACCTTATTCAATCTTTATAGTCATCATATATAGTAATACACAATGTGAACATGTGATAAAAAACAATGATTAATACACACAGAAACGTAGACAAAAAAATTGAGAAGTGCCCTTTCTTAACCTCAAAAAGTGCCCTGCTGTCCAATTGGCACTCTGCCCCTTTCAATTTCTAGCTGGAGCACTGAAGTATATACAAGTATTTGAACAAGCTACATTTTCCTGTTTTATATATATGATAGATACACCAAAATTTACCTTTTCATGTGCCTATCTTCAACAGATCAGGTGATGAAGGATTTTATCCAGATTTAGAGTCATTTTGTGAAGAAAGGATTGAGAAACTAAATCCCAAAAGGTATGTTTAAGTCATTATAAAATAACATTTCAATTGTCTATATATTTACTGTAATTTTGATTTTGAAAATAGTAAGATACAAAATGATATTATCTTATTCTACAATACATCTGCCTTCAGTAAGTTATTCAAAAAAATAATATTCTGTTACAGTATTTCAAATCTGTTGTCATAGTATGCAAATTTTTTCAGAAAAAAAATTCCTGACTCATAAAACATTTTGAATGAAATCTGATATTATTTTACTCTTTTAACACTTAGACGATAAATAGTTCTGAAGATATGGATTTTATTTCAACCCTAGCATAAAGTATGAATTTCAGAGGCTAGTGACTTTTAAAATAAACCATAACTTTAAATACAGTTTTAAAATTGTACAAATGTTTTTGAATTAATCCCAAAACATAGACAGTAGCCCTGTTAAAGATAAAGAAACAGAGATTTTATTATACTCTGCAACCAAATCATATACACATATTTTATTCTCTTTCTTCAGTCGTGTATTGAGAAAAGAAGTTCCACTTGGCAGACCTGGAGATCTTGCAAAAGATGAATGGCAGAAAATAGATACTGATTTGAAGGTGACTTGTTTGGGTGCTGTCTCAATGACATAAACCCCACATATCCTTTTAATTGCATGATAAAGGGAAAAACTTTGCAGAAAATTTTACCATCACTGCATTGTTTAGGTCTCATAATAAGTGAAGGTTTTCAAAAGGGAAAGAGAAGCTGCAGCGACACATAAGGATCACTTCTGTCATTGTCGTCCTTGTCACACTTTGTAAATCCCAAACTCCTTGAAAACTGCTTGACAGAATACTACCAAACTTGCACTAATTCTTCTACAAGACATAAAGTTGTACATCTACTATTATAATTTTTCATCTCAATGATTTTTGGGGTTTCCCATACCAAAACATGGACCTAGCCATTTCTACTTATATCATTGAGAGACAGCAGCCGACTAACATTTTTGTAACTTTATGTCCCTTTTACGGCTTTACCATAATGCATCTAAATGTTATTTCTAACAAAAAATGATGTCCTGTCCTGTGCATTGTGGCATATAGTGTTTATATCTGTGTATCTGTTTGTGTGCAGGTCTCTCTTAACAACTAGTTTCATACAGGGCACAAGTGTTGATATTGGCAAGTAAGTTTGGCTTAAATAACGGTCATATGAATGTGATGGTAGATCATTACTTAATCTACTAGCCATAAGCATTGTATGTTAACAATTGTTACCTCATGATTTAAAATAGGATATTAATGCTTTAATTGGCAAGCTTCTCTTTGAAAAATCCTTTGCACAACATGACTTGTAAAATCATCTGGTAAACAGAAATTTATGTCATTCATTTTAGGGCAATACATGTCAATGTATATATGGTATCAGATCAAATTTTATTGTTACTAATAACTTTTTTTGCAGACTTGGGAGCTGGATATGAAGACTACAGAATCTTCAAAGAAAAGATACATAGATAGTTTTGATGATCCAGAGTTACCTCCCATCAGATCAGGATTTATTAATGGCATGAGTAATCAGGTAATTTAAGCATTAACACCCTTATTGTTGAATTGTAATCCTAAAACATGAAGCAGGGTGATTAAGAGCTTGAAAAAATGCTAGAAATTGCAAGGGGCAGGATGCCAGTGAAGGACAGGACAATTGTTGAAGATCATGTCTAGATGTCAAGATGTTTTTTGGTGTCTGTATGTCTAGATGTCTTTTGGTGTCTGGAGTCTAGATGTCTTTTGGTTTCTTTTTTGTATCACCTGGTAATGTCTCAATGATGTGTACCTTAAATCTCCTTTTATTCAAATGACTTTGATTTCTCCTTTTATTCATATGACTTTGATTTCTTCTTTTATTCATATAACTTTGATTTCTCCTTTTATTCATATGACTTTGATTTATCATTACACTTATTGATTAAAAAGTGCTGTTTTTATGAAAAAAATGATCAGACTGCATGCAATGTTTAAAAAATTTGCTGGAGCTAGTATAGTCCTAACCAGGGGCAATACATTTTTACTTGCTTACTGGTAAGTGTAGGTATTTCCAAGGACTGTACTGCATCATGTAGAAATTTAGTCTTTGCTTTAAATTTTTGTTTTTGGTCTGTTTTAGAATAATGAGGCAGACACAGGAAAGAAAAGTAAGCGAGTAACACCAAGAGATTACAAGGAATGGGATAAGTAAGTTTTGTGGACATTGTGTTGTACTTTCATCTGAGCAATAGAAAGGAACATCATTCTTTTACATAGATTGTTACCACCTTGGTGATCTTATTGGAGCATGCTCACCTTAAGTGTGGGAGGTTGTGGGTTTGATTCCAGAAATTGGTAAATCCAAATACTTTAAAACTATTATTTGCTGCTTCTCTGCTAAGTATGCAGCATTTAGAATAAGAGCAAAAACAGGGTGGTAATGCAGAACAATGTGTCCAGGAAGGGTGACATTTCTTCCTGTAAATGGTTACCTTGTAATATCTAGCACATTAAAAATCGAACTCTGCATTTCAGTCTAGTACAAAGCAAGGTCCATATTCATATCACATCGACATGTTGTTTTCCTGATTTGCATGCAGTATTTGCCAATTGATGTTAAGCGCTATTTACATAGATTATTAAGGAAAACATGTATACAGGGCTCATGCTAGCAGGCGACTAGGGTGAAGAAGTCGCTTTCCCATTTGTCACTGCGCTTTGACCGACTGTCAAAAGTGATATCTAGTCGCCCAGGTGTTCACAATAGTCGCTTTCAGTCGCTTTCGTCAACATCAATTTTTCATTTATAAGAAAGAAATTCAAAGACATAAACGATTTATTTTCTTTAGAAAAAAGGTGAAAGCATTGACTTTACAGATTGGTTGTATGTTATTTCAAACAGACAACTTTATATAAAGTATTTTCTTTCACTTCCGGTATTTGTTACTCAAGAGCGTACATCAAAACGCACGACTGACACAGCTGACAGAAGAATAATGATCCCAAAAGGAAAACTATGCATTCCACACGAATTAATAGACTTTTGGTTAGATATCCTTGCTTAATGTATATATTTCCATGTAAATTCATTTTTTCTTTATTTACTTTTGTTAAATTTATATATCTTTTTGATGAAAATCAATGAATTTCATAAACATAGTAAACAGAATAATTTCTTAATTGAATTTTAGTTGATATATGATACTTTCTTTCTCTTTTTTTACATAAAAAAAAGTTCTTTTTAGTGCCAGAAATTTAGTTGGTAGTTTCTTACAAGAGGAAAAATATAATTGTTTAACTATAAATCAGCGATTATTTAAGACATAAACTGAAACAACTGTTACTTCTATTGTATACTCAGGTACAAATTGAACAATATAAAAAATAAAAATAGGATACATATGGCCCTTTATATCATAGTAAAAACCAAACACAGCAAGCGAACATGCACTTCTCTTTCAAGTCTCAACACTTCTCCCTATCCGTTTCAAAAAGAGAAGTCACTTCTCCCTATGATTCTAAAGTAGTGTGAGTCCTGGTATAGCTAAGATATAATAAAAAATACAAAGCAAATCTTTACGATCTCAGCCGATTTTTTTCTTCAATCTTACTTAAGACATACATTCAAATATCTGGCAACAGAAAGTTGACTGGAGATTTTATTACAGACAGCTTTTAAATTCCAGTGCAGTCCATATTTTAATAGAATCGCATTGAGAAATGATTCAAACCCTAGAATAACTACAGATCTAACATTTGCAATTGCTTACTTTTATAGATTTGATATTGATAAAGAATTAGATGATGTAGATAAGAAAGAAGAAAAGAAATCTACCAAAATATCAACAGTCCCCAGAATAGAAACTAACATAAATACTGCAGGTATGTGAGTGTTGAAACAAACTATACTGAATCTCAATACATAGTTTGAGGTTCAATACACAATACATTGGTAGGAACACAAAAATATGAAGAAATTTACATGCCTCATTGGTGTTAACTCTTTACCATTCCAATGACCTTTAGTTTTTTGGGGTATGAGCATTTTATTCTAAAATTTGGATTTAACCTTCAAGTTCTTGACTATCCTTCTACAGTCAGACTGAGGGCTTCAATGAAACATGGATCTCAGCTACTGCTAAAATGTCAGTTGTCTGTTGGAATTGCCCTTTTTAGAAAAATGGAACAATTATCATACCTATGTTTTTCAAAAATAAGACTACTTTTAAAGATAAAAAAATTAAAATGTTGTAGTATGGCCAAAAGAAACACGTGAATAAATCATTCATTAATATTTTTGTCAAGCCTTCAACTTTTTGTCAAAAAAGCGAGACATAGCGATCCTACATTCCGTCGGCGGCGTCCACAAATATTCACTCTGTGGTTAAAGTTTTTGAAATTTTAATAACTTTCTTAAACTATCCTGGATTTCTACCAAACTTGGACAGAAGCTTGTTTATGATCATACGATAATATCCCAAAGTAAATTTTAAAAAAAACAAATCAATTTTTTCTGTATTTTACTTATAAATGAACTTAGTTTTTACTTATAAATGGACTTAGATTTTCTGCCAGTTAACATTACATTCACTCTGTGGTTAAAGTTTTAAAATTTTAACAACTTTCTTAAACTATCTTGGATTTGTACCAAACTTGGACAGAAGCTTGTTTATGATTAAAAGCTAGTATCTTAGAAGGCAATTTTGTTAAAATTTTGTTCATTTTTTTCCGTATTTTATTTATAAATGGACTTAGTTTTTCTTCCAGTTAACATTACATACAGTCTGCAGTTTAAGTTTTTAAACATTTATTAGATTCATAAACTATCCTGGATTTTTACCAGACTTGGACAGAAGCTACTTACAATCAAAAGATAGTAAAGAGAGGAATATTTTTATTAATTTTTTTCCTCATTTTTGTTGAGCCTGCGATTAACAGCAAAAGCAGGAGAGACACTGGGTTCCGCGGAACCCTTATGAATTTTTCATTCAGTTGTGTGTTTTGCTTTACAAAATAGATAGAATTTATGTTTATTTTCCCCTCAAAGCTTCTTAAATGAAGACAAATAGTAAACATTGTTATATTGTGTAAGTGTGTTTCAATGCTTTTTTCTTAAAACTCTCATTCAATAGTCAATACACACTATATATCATTTTCCATCATACATTGTTACAGCCTAAAAGAGGTGTAAGATTAATGTTATAGATTGTTCTGTAGTGAGAGGTTTTCAGTGTGCTGCAGAATACTGTAAACCAACTTATTTTTGCGGATACTTAATTTCGTATCTTGCCCTTTCTAGCCCACTTCAAGGCAATTTAATTTCAGGATTTTAAAATTTACTTGTTGAAGTTAATTAAGAAAAGATCCAAGTTTTACGTATTCACGACGATTTATATTCACATTATTTTTCTTCTTGCGAAAATAAATTGCTTGCAAAAATTAGTTGGTTTTACAGTAAACATTTCGAAGGAGACTGAAGGCCAAGTTTTTCATACCTTTGGAACAATTGACATTTATATTAGAAGATAGTCCTGAACATAGCCTTATTAGTGACATATGCTTTCATTTTTTTTTTTTTAGGAATGACAGATGAGGAAAAGATTATGAGAGCAGGAAAGGAAAAGGATAAGGGAAACGAAGTAAAGATTTTCTAAACTGTCAAGTAGAATCATTCAAGCAGTGAAAATATTTATATAGAATTATACATTGTCTTAAACTTAAATTTTATCTGTACAAGTCTTAGAAACAGGTAGACTTTAAACTGTTCTAAGCCTCATAAATTAATAACCTCACAAACAAGGTCAGTGACTGTACAAGCCAAAAATTATACAATCAATTCCTCTTGATTGCGCAAATAACACAGTTCCTGTATAGATAGATACTGTAAGAGCAGAAATATTCGTGGGGGATTTAATTTCGTTTATTTCGTGGATAGATAATATCCACGAAATTAAAATCCCCACGAATTTTAAACCTACATATCATATTGCTTCCATTTACTGGTAACCATGAAATTAAATCCCATTGAAATCTTATTTAGAGACAAAACCACGAAATTTTAACCCCAAGAAAATTAATGTTTCTACAGTATATATATCATATAATGAGCTCCAGATAAGATGTGTATTTGCCTGATTACACAATAAAAGCCAGCAAAAACCAAAGAAATTTGTTGATTTCAGCCTTCAAAAACCCAATTAATGAAAAGATGAACCCATTAATATGTCAACACTATGCAATCTTAACCCTTTTAGTTGCTGTCCAGTGCGTTATTTACCTTAATCGTTAAATTGTTGTCACATAATTTACCTATTTTTGCAAGTTTGTAGAAAAATATTTTTCTTCAAAATAAATTAACAGTTTTAAAATATGTAGACTCAACAACTGATTAGCTTAAACACACTTGGTCTATACCAGAAGTATTTCTTAAATAAAAACAACAAGTCTCTATGTGCCTGACACACAAGAGTGAAATGAAACTCATCTTCAATAAATTGTGCACATGCTCTGCATAGATGTTACCTTAAGTAATGTTTAGAAATCGACCAGCCTAAATACTTTGAATGTGATGCTTGAGATCATTGTCAGGATATATAGTGATTTGTCATTTTCTGCATGAGATCCAAATGAAACATTACATTATATCTTGAATATTATTTGTCATAAGATTGACTAATTGGAGCATTTTTAGGATATTTTGAACATTTTTTTATCAGCGTATGTATTTTTTTCATTCAGGCATTCAGAGCAGGAGACTATGAAGAATCAATAGCATACTACACTCGTAGTATAAAACTGCATTCAACAGCTGCCTCATACAATAACAGGGCTATAGCATGTAAGTGTGTACAGTATTTCATTATAAACTTGCTAACTCAAGAACTAAAGCATATGCTTAAGTTAATATAACATTCATATAAAACTGCAATTCAGGGTTGCATCGTGTAACATCAGCAGTACCACTTCTTTGTACAACCAGATGGAGAGCGACTCAAGACAGTCAAGCAAGCATGAACAGTAATACACTGTTTATTGCTATGAGTTAATTAAATCAGACTAAGAAAATATGAACCAAGTTTAATATAAGTCAATAAAGTGTGCTATGTTGATACAATTTGATCTGCAGAGAGCAGTACTACCATTCACATATTAAATAGTAGCTTATCTGGACATTACACTTATTGTAACTGATCCATGCATTGTTGTCATTATTGTTTTTAAATTATCGAATTATTCAAAGTATTGCTTTAATTTTTCACAAGGATATTCAGATGAATGTCCTGTTTCTATATTTATAAATGGAAAAATAGTCATCAGTTATTCCTACACATGAAAACATTTTGTTGGTATTCTAGCTACATGTACCATCTTTTATACACATTAAAATAAGTACAAGAATCATGCAAATAAAAAGAAGAAAAAGGCTTATTAGCTCATTAATCTGCATACCATACGAAAAAAAGAAGAGAAATGACACTATTTCTAGAGTAAAAAACAGGCACGCAAAAAAATTGTAACCCTAAAAAATGTTGTCACGCACTTAAATTCCCATGGGGATTTTCAATAGTTGACTGGTGTGTAACTTGGAAATTTTTGATAAAATACTATGCTCTACTATGTTTTACATTTATTCCTACAAACAAATGCTAAAATATAAAACAGTAATAAAACATGTAAGTTAACTGCATAAACACATATGAAATAATAAACCTTTGTATAAAAAGAGACCCTTTCCTGGCAGTTAATTGACTTAAAATTGCTGTTCATGGAAATATTGTCTATGATTTGTTTAATTGTGAGATAATGTTATAATAGATTCAAAATAATTTCATTTTGTCACATCACATTAAAACTGAAGAAGTAATGACTCCTTAAGTATGCATTATTTTTATTGTAACGTCAGATTTGGTCAAATTTTCAAACATTGATAACAGTTTTTAGCATAATTTAATTTGGCTGTCCCCCCAGTGATCCAGACTGTTTTTGTGTCTAGGGATTCAATATCATCATTGGCAACTTTTGGTTACAGAATGTTTGGATCCTAGGTTTTGGCCAAGGGTTTCCTCAAGCTTTTAGGTCGGAAAAATGAACAAAATTTTGTATTTTGACAATATTTCAAAAATGTGGTGAGTTTGAAGCTTAAGATTTACTTAACCTAGTAGTAAGGCTTTTAAAATAGATCCATTTAAGAACCAAATTGTGGCCATTTTGAAATTTTATGATAAAGTTGAAATTCAAGTCCATATTTGGCCTAAAGTGAACCTTGTCCTTGTTAAAGATTGAAGTATTGAAGTTGGCAAAGATGTGAAATAAATATTGGGGAAATTGGCCCTATTTACCTATTTTCGATATTCTGATGCAATTTGACATGATCTAATTGCTGGCAAAATTTCATGAATTTCATCCTAGAAATTGCCCAATTTTGTATAAACTGTTACTTTTAAATGGAAATCTAAATATGTAAATGGTAGATGAAAAAAAAAACTGAATACTGTAAATTCAGAAATTATTGCGTGCATTTATTATTGCGATTGTTGAAGAATGGACAAAAATGTGAGTTCAATTATTGCGATATCAGGAAAATCTGCATATGGATATATGTATCTGATATTATAATGCGAGTTCTTATTATTGCGATACTCACCCAATCGCATTATTCGCATTAATAAAAACCTCGCAATAATTTCTGAATTTACAGTACTCTAGTTTCGGGAAAGCTTGCTCGCGACATAGAATTCTGAGTGGGTCAAGCGTTTAATTGAAAATCATGCGAGAATATGCGAGATTTAAAAGAACTGGGGGCAAAGTCATATGGTACAAATCAATGTTTGATGTTAAGGACGCCACTTTCCAGTTTACCTGTGAAGTCATTGAGTGTCAGCTGTTTTTTGTTTATGTTTAATAATGGAAAAAACACATTGTGTAGAATTTCGAGACCTTGTGTTTGGAAATTAAGGGAGAATATTGGGAAAGAAATTTGAAGGAAACTTGAAACTTACTTTATAGACAACAGCAACAAAACGTTTGATAAAGAAGGAATGAGGGCCTACAAGTCCCTTAAAGAATTCAAGTACTTTGAGGAAGTATATGTGCAGAAATGTCATCTTTGGAGAATGAGAATAATTTCCTGATACATGCTGATGTAATGGCATCTATGGCCAAAATATTATATAATTTAACGGCAATACTACACATAATTACTTTTCTTTGGCATGTGCCTGGCGGATATAGATAAACAGTTGAAAACGTAACACAGCTCGTGTGATTGTCATCCAAAATGGAGCTTTTTGAAAAGTTGTCGCTGGTCATAGCACAAGGTCAATATCATGAATGACCTTATACAAAGTTTTCAATAGAATATAACCATGGCTTCATAAATGTTATGTTTTCAATATTGTATAAATAGTCTGATCGTTTAACCCATAATAGAAACATTCCCATAAAAAACAAACAGTTACAGATTGTCGTATGAAAAAAAAAAACACAAAAAACCCACACCCACTAATAAAGCTATAAAATGTCTTTACTTGGACTGTTGCATTTTGAACCAACACGTGAAAAGTCCAGCTCAATCTAGAACAAAACAGTTTCAACATTCATATCTCATTATCATGATCTTGACCTGAATATGCATTTAACTTGCCACTGGACACAAGCAAACCATCAATTCATCTATCAATAACCCCTAATCAATAGAAATTCGCATTTCTTTTCAAATATTGTGTAAAAGAGGGACGAAAGATACCAGAGAGACAGTCAAACTCATAGATCGAAAACAAACTGACAACGCCATGGCCAAAAATAAAAAGACAAACAGACAAATAATAGTACAGATGACACAACATACATAACTAAAGACTAAGCAACATGAACCCCACCAAAAACTGGGCGTGATCTCAGGTGCTCCGGAAGGGTAAGCAGATCAGGCTCCACATGTGGCACCCGCTGTGTTGCTTATGTTATTACAAATCCGGTAAATAGTCTTAATTCGTGAAAAGGGAAGAGAATTGTAGTTACGACATAAGGAACATATCTGATATCATCTGTGAAACGGTTATTCCATACGGTCAACCGACTCATGATGGCGTCCGTAAAATTTACGAAGGGATGATTTCAACTTCACCATTTGGAACTCTTGGTTTAATAGCTTCCTTGTGAGCAGCAATCCTCCTATCAAGGAAATCATGATAGGAAATACAAGTCCTGGAATATCGTATCAATTGGGAGATATATATTCCGTATGCAGGCGCTGCTGGAATGTTGCTACATAGAAATGGAAAGTTCACAATTGGGAAGCTGAAATCATCTCTTTTGTCGTAAAGTTTTGTTTTCAACCGACCCTCATTGTCAATTTCTAGATGTAAGTCAAGATATGAGGCAGACTTAACTGTATCTGTAGTATCCTTTATCTCTAGTTTGATGGGATAGATTCGTTCAACATAGTCACCAAATTTTGTATTATTTAGTGAGAGAACACTTGACTTCCATTATAAACAACTCAAAGTCGGTTACTGGTGAAGCGATTTTCAGTAATGTTTAATGGCTACAAGGACCAGTTAACGTATGTCTGTCAAATAAGATTCCACCTCTAAAAGACAGAATTTCTCACTTAAACTGAGTATTAACAGTTAAATTGTTAATTACTCCTTTATGGTAAGAAAAGAAGGATGTATGTCGAACCAAACAGGCAGTTATTTCATAAATCCTGAAGATCTTCTTTCTTTTGACAAGACAACAACAATTATTTTTTTTTTTTTGGGGGGGGGGGGGGGTTACTTTTTTCTAAAAAAATTAAAATATTACAATACTATTTTCACATTATTTATTATTTTTCTTCCTATTAACGTGAATGTTCTGACACACAAAAAAATATATATATAACAGAACTGCTCATTAAAAGTATGTAATCAAATGCCAAACTATATAGATATGTGAAAATTTACTTTCTGAAGAAATAAAAAAGTATATAAAGTATCTTTTATATTGTTTAAGTTCTTACAAAAAGATGTCATTTAAAGTATTTAGATTTTATGCATACCATGTTATGTATGATTCACCATAAGACAAGATAAATTGCTAGACGATCCCGACCCCCCCTCCCTTTCTAAATTGTGAATATCTGATGCATTTGCATTAAACACAATACCTTGATGTAAATTAGATACACGTATGCAATCAGGGCCTAGCCTAACTGTCAAAACATAATTATCAGGGTACATTTTGTTCAACTGTCGCCTGGTGAGATTAATAGTTCAACGTAAAACTTTATGATTCCATATGGCCTAGGTATTGATTGACTTTTAATTTTATGACCTAATATATGGTAATGAAATGACACCCGCATATTTTTGTAACTTATTCAATATATCTGCTAAGTGTACTTCACAGCGTGAATCTGTCCATTTTTGCGTGAAGGTGACATGCAAAGTCAGATGACATATCAAACCGTTTATTTTGCAATTAAGATCAATTTTAAAACAACATAACAGTCTAAGTAGTCTGTTTTAATTATTTTAATCTGTCAGTGTAATCAGCATTGTTTCGTTAATAATTATGTCCAGCCAAATGCTCTTTGTGTAAATGTTAACGCTAATATGTGATTTAGTGATTATATTTCTGCCACTGCATGTTTATCAACCGCTATCGGGTGATGCCCCCTGTTGATGAATTCTTGGGAACTATCGTGTGATTTCATAACTTGACTTATTAGGTTAGACATGCACAGTTCTTTTCGAAACTAGAGTGTTCCTGTGAAGTTCAATCCAGTTAAGATTTTATACCCAGGTATTTTTTGAATGACATTAAAAATGTTGTAACCTTTGACATAGAAACGCTTTTGTTTTAGATTGTATTTGAAAAAAGTTATACAAAACAACAAAACAACATAAATAGCAAGACAGAATTAAAAGAAAAATTTAATTGTTTTCTTTAGTTTTTTATAAACTATATTTTTCTTAGTCTATTAAATTGTAGAAGGGAAATAACTCTTGTAAATTTTAAATAATTTTGCATATTGAACTATTTTTTGTTAACTAGTCTCACTTATTCTATGTACTAAAACACTGTTGATAAAATTCTAAATATTTCTGACTGAAATTTACTAGTTAAATTTATTGGAGGATAATTCTATTGAAAATAATAATGAATATTGTAGTATTTACACACCTTATTGAGAGAGAAGTTTTTCATTTATAAATAAATCTCACATATCAAGTTAAGGTTTATAACGTGATGTAAATTCTTGGTAGTGTAATTATGAATGTTTTACATTCATATTAAATTTTGGAAGCCTTTTCTGGGCTAACACTGAATTATGGGTAGAACAGGTTACACAAATCAATACAACAATTCTTCATAGTAGCTTAAAATGCTATTAGATAAAGTTACAGTTGAAGTAGAATATACATTATATTACTACAATTTTATGAAGAAAAACTTTAATTAATAAAACTTTTCAACTTACACTTAATTTAAATATAATTATTATCCTATGTTAGTTTATCAACACCAATACCTTCTGAGAATACTAAACTCAATAAAATTTTACCTACTCATAATTAAACATAATTAAAGACTTTTGATGAAGGGTAATAATGCATGAATAATAACTCATATTTATAAATTTCAATTCATTTAAATTTAAAGATCCCATTGTTGATTTATAGGTACATACACCTTATTTTTTTACCTAGTGTCAGACATAGCATTGTCATTGTAGTGATTCATTTAGGGCAATAGAATATTTGAAGATAGATTTGATTTAGGTCCAGATGTTCTTCTCCAATGATTTCAGCAAGTTTTATATATCAATTTCATTTAAAAACTAAAAGTCCAATAAATTACCAAAAACAAGAATGAGTTAATCTCTGAAGCTTTGTCTTAAAAAAGACCCCAGTTTTTGTTCACAGTAGATATGATTATTTACAAAAAAGGAAATATAAGGAAATCTTTCAAGGTAGAAATTTTTTCTAATTTCTTTTTACCTGCAAATCATTTAATTAGAAAAAAGTTAAAGTTAATTTAAAAAAAAGGAGTTTACTCAATTCAATGGTGGTTGTATATAAAACAGCTATATTCAACCTGATTGTAAAATTAATATAAAGAGTAGAGAATATCAGTTTACGTTACTTTGTTGATCATATCATGCATTTGTTTATTTGTCCTCGCTAGAATTGGCAATACATATTTGTCTTTGTCTTTTTCAGATTTAAAAATATCTCAGTGGACAAATGCAGCAGAGGACTGTAATCGTGTTCTAGATTTAGAACCAGATAACATCAAAGGTCGGTAACTCTCACATTTTTAGCTCACCGTTCTGTCATCGTCCGTTGTCGTCCATCTGGTGTAAACTATTTCATACATCTTCTCCTCTGAAACTACTGAACCAATTCCAACCAAACTTAAGATTAATGATCCTTAGGGTATCTAGAATAAAGGTTGTGTTTTATTTACTGTTTCATCTAATAACATGGCCCCAATGGCTAAAAATAGAACATAGGGGTAAAATGCAGTTTTTGGCTTGTATCTCAAAAACCAAAGCATTTAGAGCAAATCTGACATTGGGTAAAAATGTTCAAAAGGTCAAGATCTATCAGCCCTGAAATTTTCAGACAAACCGAACAACCCATTGTTGGGTTGCTGCCACCAAATTGGTTATTTTAAGGAAATTTTGCTTTTAGTTTTTGGTTATTATATTGAATATTATTGAAGATAAAGATAAACTGTAAACAGCAAAAATGTTCAGCAAAGTAAGATCTACGAACAAATTCATATGTCCAAAATTGTCAATTGACCCCTTAAGGAGTTATTGTCCTTAAAGGACAATATAACACAAGTTGTTTATGTTTTTTAACTTTAAAAATCTTCTCAAACAAATCTAGTATAAATTTTATATTTTATATCCTTGTACGTCAAGAAACATACACTATCGCTAAAATGGAACATATGGGTAAAATGCATTTATTTGCTTTTGAAGAAAATGTGACAGATATAATGAACATCTAAAAGGCATTTTTAAGCCACTCATTAATATATATTGAAAAGCAAAATTAATCATTGATGAAAGATTTAAGCAAAAAAATAACAGGTGAGCGATTCAGGCTCTTGAGAGCCTCTTGTTTATTGAAAGATTCAAGTTAAATTCTACTAAGAAAGTGAATGTTGTGTCAGAACATCATTGTTGAGTGTTTTCCATTTATGCTGTACAAAAATGAATTTGGTTTTATACAATTTTTTTTAACATCAATATGATAAGTTTATGTCTATGTGGAGCAGCATTCCACAAGGTCATAATCATGGGGTAATGTATCAGTGCTTTTTGGATCTGTCAAACACCTACTTCCTGTTTTCCCAATACTTTGAATTATGAATGCCTGTTTGTAAGCACAACTATGTGTTCATCCTTATATCTCCTAAATCTATCTTTGTGGTATATATTTTTAGTTTAACCTTTCATATTTATAACTGAAATCCTCCAAGTTGAATTGAAACAACTATTGAAAAATCAGTTATATGCTGGGTACATGGTTTATCAGGCTAACTCCTACAGTTTTCAAGCCTGAGCTTTTATACTATGTTGGGTGTTTGTTCATCTATAAATGGTGTGCAAGTTCATACTCACATGAATTTGGTTATCTTTTTGAAAAAAAAAATCACAAATGACAGAATGTTGACATTATTATTTTTAGTGAAATTATGCATACAGGGTGCATTGTTATTCAGGCTATCTTCTAATACAGCTTTCAAACTAAAACTTGATTATTATGCATTGTATTACTATGTATATCAATAGTCAGCATATTATCAGGATTTTGATTTTCGTTGAATTTTGCACTTTAGATTTTACCTTTTTTTTTGCATCAAATGTGTCTTTACAAGCTTACAATTGGTGCAATTTTGGGGGGAAAATAAATAAAGACAGTCATCAGAAAACAGTTATTTTTTTCACAATATTGCATCGATTGGGAGCTTTATTTTACTTCTTTTAGTTGCTCTTACCTGACAGAGTACCAGAATGTCCTACCACAGAGTAGGTAACCTGTCTAAGAATTATATACTCCACAGAGTAAAAATTTGGTCATAAGAAAATTGGCTATTGTGCAGTGACAACAAAAAATCATGTCTTAGATCATTGAAACACCTTGACCTGAAATTTGAAACAAGCGTTATGTGAGCATGTTATAATGTGTGATGTGTTTTCACATGTTTCACTTATCAACTTACTGTTTACTGAGTACTTATAGCAGGAGTATCATTATTGAGCAATAGCTCACAGTTCAACTTGTTTTATTTTTATGCATTTTGGGGTTCCACACAGAAACATAGAAAAACTTTGTTTTATCTATACAAAAAGGTAAGGGGGTATGAATTTGTATGCACTGCTCACTGTTTTGTTTTGTTTAATAAGGAATTAAGATTCGGGTCATGGAAGTATCCATCTTAATAACTTCACATTTGTTTCAGCTCTTTTAAGAAGAGGAACAGCCTACAAAGGAATTAAAGAGTTTAGTAAATCTTTACAAGATTACAAGCAAGTTTTACAATTAGAACCTGAGAATAAAAGAGCCCAGGTAATTTGTAACAGAATATATAATTTGTCAATACATGAATATCTTTAGAAGGAAATTTAAAGCATTTTACAGCTGATTTTGGGAAGGAAATATGTCTTTGGCTTAATCATAATATGAGAAATTTTGGTCAAGCAATATCCATTTGTTTATTCCTGAGTTTAATTCAGACTAAGTGCATTTAAGAAGTTAATAGGTGTTTCATGTCTAGTCAATGAAATCATAATTTGATTATGATTCTTTATCTTGGGCTTTCCATCATTAGAAACAAAATTTTAGATATTTGTAAAATATTTTCATTGAATTATTAATGCCAACATTTATCAAAGCAGTTTTTTTCTCACCTGTAACAAAAGTCGCGGAAAGCGAAAGATGGGGATTGCTTTTCCGGCGACGGCTGCGATGATGGCGTCAACAATTGTTAAGTTTTCTGCTTAAGTTAGTTTGATAGGAACTATTTGTGATAGATCATTGATATTTTGTTTGAAGATGCATTACTATCAGTACATATCAGTTTGATGCCAATTTTGAGGCCCTGCCCTGCCCCCTAGGCCATGGTCCAGTGACTTTGAAATAATTAGAATTTTAAATGTTAAGTTTTCTGCTTAAGTTAGATTGATAAAAACTACTTGCGATAGATCAATGATATTTTCTATAAAGTTGCAATACATATCAGTTTGACGACTATTTTAAGACCCTGCTATTATTCAGTCATTTTATATATATATATATATATACACATGTATATATATATATATATATATGTATAACCTTTTCTTGTCCCTGATTGGGATCTTCCTTAAATATCATATTTACTAATGGCCTTTTTTCATGACTTTATCTTAACTGAGAAATTAGCATAAATTTTCTTGCAAATGATCAAATATTGACATGTATACCATTAATTTAAAGGCAGCTTTTATCATGTGAACGAGGTATAAGTTGTTATAAGTTGCATAACCATGGAAATGGTTACTTCTGAGGCTACAATTTACTGTTCACTGCTCCAAATCTTACATTAACCTCTCTTGATTTTTCCCACGGTCGATATAACATTTTATCATAGAAGATTCCCTACATTTTTAGACAATGAGAAAATAGAATTTTTATAGTCATATAATAACATAAAATATCTAACTAAATTTGGCATGTGTTTTGTTTTCAAATGATGAAACTTTATGTGTATATACCCTTGACCAAAAGTAGGTACTCTGGTTTCCCTCTACCCATCAGCCAAAATGTCTGTCCATAGCACATTTCTGTCACATTTTTGTCAGCATCTATAAATCATAGATATAAGATGTGGTATGAGTGCCAATTAGACAACTCTCCATCCAAGTCAAAATTTATAAAAGTAAACCATTATAGGTCAAAGTACGGTCTTCAACACGAAGACTTGGCTCACACCGAACAGCAAGCTATAAAGGGCCCCAAAGATTACTAGTGTAAAACCATTCAAACAGGAAAACCAACGGTCTAATCTATATAAAAAACAAGAAACTCTTATGAACCACATCAACAAACGACAACTACTGAACATCAGATTCCTGACAGGTGCAAACAATTGCAGCGGGTTTAAATGTTTTAATGGTACCAAACCTTCACCCTTATTTGTAACAATAATGTAACATCACAACATAGAAATACACACTATAAAATATCAATTTAAATGGCTTAACTCAATCAGAAGACATATTAACACCAGTGAACATACACTGAACAAATAAATTTGATTTATGATACAATGTAAATACAAAATAAATAAACTAAGGGAAGAATAATGAAAGTAACATGTTATACTGCTGTGAAATGTTAAACAATTTAAGAAAAACAATATGCTTGAACAAAAATATCAGCCATTTGCAATTACTTTAAACACAGGTAAATGAAAATAATTTTGTTGTTAGGTATACGTGTACAGTTCAAATGGAGAAAGGAAATATTTTTACAAAATAAATAATTTTGATGTTCATAGTACGAAGAAGTGAAAATTTATAGTAATAACAAACACTTATCAAAGCTGGTTTATAGACCAGATATAACCCTGAATAACATTAAATAACAAAAAAGTATTACAATTAGTATCATGGCTTCTTTTGATATATAGCACAAAGCTTGGACCTTGTTGTGCCATACAGTAGGACAGTTTTTGAGTTCCTTTGATGTTCTATTTCCTGTTTGATGAAAACTTGTAGCTTTGAAATGTCATTCACATGAATTTAATTTTCATATCATATTTCTCAGCAACTACAATTTATGCTTTCATCTGTTTTGTCATACCATGTGAAATGATCTACTTCCTGTTTGCCAAAAATCTTTTTTAATTAACAGTCTTCCTTATGTTTGTCTTCATAAAATTCAGAAGGCTTGCTCACTTTTGCTCTTCCAAAATTTGATTGATTTTAGAATTTTGATACTAAAAATGATTATTGAGCAATGTCTTACAATATATCTTGTTTTTCATACAATTTAATCAAAAAGAGAAATTAAAAGATTTTTTTGACATTATAATTCAGAATTGTATGATGTACACACTAGTTTTTGTCTCACCTGTGTCACTGAAGGTTAGACGTTGGTGTTGCTTTTCTGGTGGTGACAGCATTGTTGGCGGTGTCAACAGTTATTTACGACTATTACAAAGACCTGCCCCCTAGGTCATGTTCCAGTGACTTTGAATTAATTAGCAATTTTCTATGTTAAGTTTTCTGTTTAATAGGTACTTGTGAAAGATCAACGATATTTTCTATAAAGTTGCATTACTATCAGTACCTATTTCGAGGCTCTGCAGCTGTAGGTCATGGTCCAGCGACTTACAATTAACTACCAATTTTCAAAGTTAAGTTTTCTGCCTAAGTTAGTTTGATAGGAACTCCTTATGCTAGACAATGATATTTTCTATAAAGTTACATTACTATCAGTACATTTCAGTTTGTTGACCATTTTTAGACCCTGCCCCCTAGTTCATGGTCCAGTGACTTTGAATTAATTAGCAATGTTGCTGTCCATCAGATTGTAGGGGAGGGGGCATTAAGTGTTACCCTTGTCCGTCCGTCCCGTTCGTACGTCCCCAAAATTGGTTTCCGTTCTCTAACTTTCGTTTGCCTCAACCAAATGTTATAAAACTTTTACACAATGCTTATTACCACAAAACACAGACCAAGTTTGAAATTGGGTGGCTTCACTTTTACCCTTCATAATTTATGCCCTTTTATAAACATAAAGATTGCTGAATTTTTCGTTTCTGTTCTCTAACTTTAGTTTGCCTCAACCAAATGTTATAAAACTTATACACAATGCCAATTACCACAATACACAGATCTAGTTCGAAATTGGGTGGCGTCCCTTTTAGAATTCATGAGTTATGCCTCTTTATAAACATAAAAATTGCAGAATTTTTATATCAGTTCTCTAACTTTATTTTGCCTCAACCAAATGTTATGAAACTTATACACAATGCTTATTACCACAAACCACAGATCAAGTTTGAAATTGGGTGGTGTCACTTTTACCATCCTTGAGTAATGCCCCTTTATAAATGGAAAAATTGCTAAATCTGTCGTTTCCGTTCTCTAACTTTAGTTTGCCTCAACCAATTGTTATGAAACTTATACACAATGCTTATACATATAATCACAAAATGGTTTTAACTACGTGAATCCTGCATCTGTATGTGGAAGTTGACTTATGTATATTTAAAAGCGAGGGCATCTGTGGCCCATAGACACATTCCCCATTTATTTCTGAATTATCTGCTGACAGGCGAGACATATCTCTGTGTCAACAATTTATTTTATCATGTTATCAATAGAAATCCTGAGGATTAATTTTATTTTTCAGACCAAGACTGCAAAAGGATGCTTCTTATTTCACATACTTCATTTTTCACATACTTCTTCTTAGTTCAAATACTACTTCTTTGTTCACATTTCCCAAAGTGCCACATGAACAATTGTTATCACTTTCCATCTATTGTCTGCTAACTTCAACAAAATAATTGTGAAGACAGTTTTACTTTTTGAACAGAACTTGGTCACAGTTAAATTATTGATGTTTTGACCTCGACTAAGTTTTGACGTCCATATCTACACTCATATAACTTGACATAAGGATACATCTTTATGAATAAAGCAGCATCCCACAAAAAGTACGTCAATGTGACCTATATTTTATGCTACTATTACTTGACTAAAAAGTTTACTTCAAAGTTCAGATCTCTGTTACTAAGTGAGCTTCAGTCATAGAAACTTGATGTAAGGATGCATCATGGGGAGACTCCACAAGAAGTCATTCACTCAAACCTATGTCCTCTTATAAAAAGTAGAGTCATTCTTAATTTTGTAGTCACTAGTAGAAACTGCTGACTTATTATGAGGACCTGAGTTCACCCTTAGTTTTTTATTGACCCCTTCTCCCTCTTTTTACCTTTCAGTTCATTTCCTAGATGACCTTTCAAATATATAATTTTGTTGATTCATATTGGGTTTAAACCTTAAATTCATTTTTATGATACTTATTTGCTTATATTTCAGTCCTTTTTTATACACCCATTTATGGGACGTATTATGGTATACTGTTGACCGTCTGTCTGTCAGTCTGTCCATCGTCAACATGTCGGACATTAACTCAAAAATGCTTTAACCAATATGCATGAAACTTTGGTGAATTGTTTATATCTATTGACGTGAGCTCCCTTTCGTTTTTTATAAATTTGGGATTTACCGTTTCCGAGTTTTGGGGTTTTATTAATTAAAAAAGGGGGGATTTTCCAGTTTGTGGACAATAACTCAAAAACAATTTCACCAATTTGCAAGAAACTTTGGTGCATTGTTTATTTCTATCGACATGAGCTCCATTTTGATTTTTATAAATTTTAGACCATACGTTTCCGATTTATGGGGGTTTTATTCATTACAAAAAGGGGGATTTTCCAGTTTTCAGACAATAACTCAAAAATACTTTCAGCATTTTTTATGAAACTTTGGTGAATTGTTTATATCTATTCAGTATTGATGTAAGCTCCCTTTAGAATTTTATAAATTTTAGATTATACATTTCTGAGTTATGGGGTTTTATTCATTAAAATAGGGGGGATTTTCCAGTTTTTGGACAATAACTCAAAAACAATTTCACCAATTTGCAAGAAACTTTGGTGAATTGTTTATTTCTATCGACATGAGCTCCATTTTGATTTTTTTAAATTTTAGACTACTGTAAATTCAGAAATGATTGCGTGCATTTATTATTGCGATTTTTGAAGAAGTGACAAAAATGCGAGACTAATTATTGCGATTTCAGAAAAACCTGGATACACTTATATGTATCAGATATCAGAATGCGAGTTCTTATTCTTGCGATTATCACCCTCGCATTAATTTCTGAATTAACAATATATGTTTCCGATTTATTGGGTTTTATTCATTACAAAAAGGGGGATTTTCCAGTTTTCGGACAATAACTCAAAAATGCTTTCTGCATTTTTTATAAAACTTTGGTAAATTGTTTATATCTATTGTTGTAAGCTCCCTTTTGATTTTTATAAATTTAAGATTTTACGTTTCCGAGTTATAAGATTTTATTCATAAAAAATGGTTGATTTTCAAGTTTTTGGACAATATCATTAAAGTGCTAAGAGCAGTTTTCATTAAACTTTGATGACTGATTTATATCTATTAAGATAACCTCCCTTTAGTTTTTTTTATAAATTTCTGATATAACATTGAGAAGTTATTGTTTGTTTATAGTCTGACAACAGATTTACTAAGTATTGCGCAACAGCACAGTGTATTGCACAACAGCAAGAAATCTTTAATTGAATATAAATTCAATTCATATAACCAATTTCAAGTTCTTTGACTACATTTATTCAGAAACCTATAATATGTCAAATATTTAATTACAATCCAAATTCAGACCTGTATCAAGCTTGAATAGTGTGTCCATTTTTGCCCAAACTGTTCAGGGTTGGACCTCTGCAGGCGTATCCAGCTGCGCTCAACGAAGCAGTTTATTGACACTGAAGTTCATTTCGATGTAGATAAATGTGGGTTTTTTTGTCTTGCCTGCTACTGTATTATATACCCTTAATCCAATATCAGCTTTCATAAAGAAAAATATAGTAACAAAACTATTAATAAGGGGTATCTTTTTATTTAAAAAGAGATAATTTTTTTTTTTATGATAGGATCTTATTGAAGAGTTAGCTGCTGAAGAAAGGAAACATGAGGAAGAAAAGAGGAAAAGAAAGGAGAAGGGAAGAAGAATGGTGATAGAAGAAGTTGATGAAGAATCTGATGATGAGATTGTTGTTGATAAGACACCAAAAGAGGGCCAAAAAATAGTCAATGGTTGTTCAGATGATGGTCAAAAGTCAAAAATACCGGAAATTATAAAAGAAAAGTCAGACAATAAGAAACCAGTGGAAAGTAAAAATAGCATTAAAAGTGAAAGTAAGCAAGATGTTTACAAGCATGGTAAGGTTGATGAAAATGGACACAACAAACTCAAAGAAAGTACATTTGTTAAAAATACTGATAAAAATATTTGGAAAGAAGAAGATATTGTAGAAACTTCAGCTGTGTCTGAAACAAATAAAATACAAAATGAAAGTGGACTTCCTAAAAATACCAGACAAGGAAGTAATAGTCAAAGTGAAAATAAACTGGATTTTCCCCTAACAAGAGAACAGAACACAGAACGCTCAGCTGATAGCAGTGAAAGTAAATCAGAAATGGGAGAGACTAAGGAAAAGGAAAAAGAATCCAGTGACAGTGGGAAAAATAGGAATTCAGAAACTGTTAAAACAGAAGAGACTGTAACTAATGGACATGTAGTTACAGAAAGACCTAAATTTGTACAAGGACCTTTATCCCGAAGTGTGGCAGAACTGAGGGAGTCAGGAAATAATTTTTTCCGTACAGGTCAATATGGGGATGCTATTCTTAAATACAATGTGGCCATTCAAAAAATGGAAAAAGGTAAGAACTGTGACCTTTTCAGAATTAAACATTTGTAATGATTACTTCCCTTGGACTTAGATTATGAAAATTGTCAATCATACTTAACTTATATCAGCATGAAGTCTCTTTATACATGTTATAGAACTGTTTTAATATTTTCCAGACAGATTGTGATATGTCATTCATTTTTTTTCCAAAATTTTGAGATGTTTTAGTAATTAAAGAAAAAGCATTATTTTACCTTATTCTATAAAAATGGTTTTAAATATCATTCAGTTTAAATGGCTATCAGAGGAAGTTAAAGAATCTTTGATACAGTTAAATATTTAATGACTCAGCATATCTGAATCTATTAGATACACCCATGAGGGCGTTAGCCTGAATGGGTGTATCTAATTTACACCAAGATATTATTGTCAATGCAAAATGATGGTTTTCAATAATTTAGGGGTGGGTCTTTCAGCGATTTGACCATATGCTATTGAAAAGCACGATAAATGCAGGGTATCAAATTTCATTCAATGACATCTTGGTGTAAATGTGTATACAGCAGTTGTTATTAGTTATTTGTAAATGGTAATTTAGATATTTTACAAGAAAATAGAGAATTTTGTTTCCCCTACCAATAAGTGAACTCCGAGGTGATATTTCCAAATTTTTAAGAGGAGATTTTACTACTAAAGAGAATCCCAACTTTAACAGCTGTTGTTTGTGTTGGATTAGAGATGACTCATGAAACATAAATTATCCTTTAACATGTTTAAAACTTTGCCAATATATAATATTTTGCATAAAATGCTTCATTTTATTAACAAAACTAACTTCATATAAAAGGTTAACACTACACAAATGTTCTGCTTGTTTGTATGCCCTGTTTACTTTTATTTTGATATACGATTAACAGCATGAGTGGTAGTTGAACTTTGGTTGAATGTTTATAAACTTTAATATAGGGATAAAATTGAGAATGAAAATTGGGAATGTGTCAAAGAGACAACAACCCGACCATAGAGCAGACAACAGCCGAAGGCCACTAATGGGTCTTCAATGCAGCGAGAAACTCCCGCCAGGGATGGGGTAATCGTAATCTGTAATCGTAATCGATTGTAATTGATTACATTTTTTCCAGTAATCGACAGTAATCTGTAATCGAAGACATTTTTGATTACATGTAATCGTAATTTAATCGATTACAGCAAAAACCATGATGTAATCATCGATTACTTTCGATTACATTTCGATTACTTTAGTAAAATAGTTTGATGAAATATAACCTATTTTAAATGAAAACGTGTATGTATTCATCACTTTGAAGTACTGATATGACTTAAGAGTTTATCAACTGCCTTTATATTTCTATCTATTGTCTCAAGCTGCATTATGATCAACCAGATCCCCTACCATAATTTACTTTATATCTAGCTTTTGAAACAAAAATGTGCTTGTCAATAAGTCAACACCTTTTATATTAAAATAAGAAAATAGATTTGAAATAAGAAAATAGATTTAAAATAAGGAATGTGTCTTAAGTTAAGTTCTGTACTTCCTTAAAGTAGTAAGCTTATTTGTATTAAATTTCCTAAAAGCATAATTTTCAATAAGATTTAAGCTTAGAAAAGATAAACAGTTGATTTCTTATAATGTTATGATATACATGTATATAAAAAATAAGTACACAAAATCCTTTTAACAATGAACCAATGCCTATGCATTGAAATTCTTTTCAGAAAAAGATACATGTATCCCTCGTTGACACTATAAATATATACTGTTTATAATTTTATCATAGAATAAAAAAATCTTAACAAACTTCTTGTCTTTACTAATCAGATGATCAAAGTCTTCTAATCACTATATAAGACACATACTTTGTTTTTATTTCAATTACTGTTTGTCTATTTAAGATGGAGATTTACATTATTTTGCCCCAGGTAATAAATTGTACTCCATTGGCAGTTTTATAACCTATAATTAAGGTGGTTTTCCAACAAAAGGATTAAATCATGTCTGTCATTATAATTATAAATTTTGATCCTTAAAATTAGCTGAACTAATTAATAATTCTACTTTTTTATATTTTCTTCAGAGAAAACTTCCAACATTGTAAATAACTATACCTGCTTTAAATGAATAAAAACAAAAAAGCTAACTTAAGTCAGTACGAAAGTAAAATTATTGAAAAAAACCTTAAACATATATATAAGTGATTGATGGAATGCAATGTCATCTCTAATTCATGTTGAAAGTCAAATTTCAAGATTTTTTTAATAATTCTGATCCTCAGTAAGAGATTCCATCTAGATAACAACTGTCAACTTATAATTTGGAAACAATGATTTAAATGCTGTTTTTTTGGTAAAGTTCTAGATATCTACTATACAAACGTTGATCAATATAATAGTGTTTAACTTACTTTATTTTTTTTTTAAATTTTGAAGCATGTAATTGACAGTAATCGAAAAGTAATGTAATTACTTTTGATAAAGTAATCGATTGCAATCGATTACATACAAAAATCTGAGTAATCGATTATTAATCGATTGCACAAAATACCTTCATGTAATCGATTATTAATCGATTACATTTGTCAGTAATCGTGCCCATCCCTGACTCCCGCACCCGGAGGCGTCCTTCAGCTGGCCCCTAAACAAATATGTATACTAATTCAGTAATAATGGACGTCATACTAAACTCCAAATTATACACAAGAAACTAAAATTAAAAATGATACAAGACTAACAAAGGCCAGATGTATATTTTATCTGCTTAACTCCAGCAGTTTTCAAGTTAGATTTGTTTTATAATTACCAGAATGTTTGAATGCATATGATGTGTGTTCGCTTTGTCAGGAGGATTTTTTTAACTATGGATGTGTACCTGACCATGTCCAGAATCAACTGTTTCCTTTTGATACATATTTGGGCATCATGTATGTCTTACTGAGAAAAAAATACTTGCAGGACAACAGCAAAAAAAGATTCACACATTAAAATTCTATGCCCAAGGCTTTATGGGCATGCTTTCTCTAGTTCTTTTGAATACACACTCTTTATATAAAATATTGTATCTGACAAATGTTTTCATTATTTCCTAAAATCAAGTTTTTAAGAACTTTTTTTTTAAATTGCAGAGAAGACTGATCAGAGAGTTAATATCTCTCTCATATACAGTAACAGAGCAGCTTGTTATCTGAAGACAGGGGACTGCCCACATGCTATTAAAGATTGTACAACAGCATTAGATCTGGTGCCACACTCAATCAAACCTCTGCTTAGAAGAGCCAATGCATATGAAGTGTTGGAAAGGTAAACCAGTGTAACCTGTTTTCTGATTAAAAATCTATTAATTACCAATAAATAATTTCAAGTAAAAAAATAACAACATAAAAACAGGATTGAACATTTTTAGTTGTCTGATTTTAGGTATTGGCATCATTCCATAGAAAGATTTTTAGTCCACCTTTCCAAAAATGGCTTTAATTTATCACATTGTCATCAACACTTTTGAAAGTACTGGGCCAATTTAAGAACTTGACAGGAATAGTGTATAGATGGTCTATTAAAACAGAAAACAAGGCCAACAAAGCAAAATGTTGTTAATCGTTGCAGATATGTTGATTTGGAGACCATTTTCAAGCATCTTTTATGTCATGCTGATTATATGACATATTTGGCAGGAAAGGTGCCACAAAAATGTCCTTTCAAATCTATTAAAATACTATACATTTTTTTTTGCTAAAAACAACATGGAAATCCCAACCAACCTTGGCATTCTTTTCAATAAGATAGAAAACATGGCTGTCAGAGTCAATTCTTGATTCTTATTGGTCAATTATTTTAATTTCTTCTGAAATTTATTGCAAATCCATTGCATTAAATGGAAATTACTTTCAGTGTTTCTGTTAAACTTTTTTGCCAATCTGAACTATTGTATGGATTGTATGCATTAAAAATTCTTCAATTCACTTTAATTCATGATCATGATCTTATATATGATAAAACTTGACAACCAGGAGTATTTTTTTATACTCTTTAATATAAAAAGGATAACAGGAAAAACAAAAAAAATTGGACAGTACAACAGTCAACACTAACCACTAATACTAGACATCTCTGGGAAAAAAAAACAGACAAAAAGCTAGATAGCCTGACTTGTACACAATTTCTTTTTACTTAAAGTTATATCAGATACATTTCTTTAAAAAATGTAGTTTTAAGGGGACTCTTAATTTAATTTGTACATTTTTAACAAGACTGCTTTTAGGCTAATAGATTTTCTTTATTTCAACATTAATAAAATTTTGTTCATTTTAAACTTCCAAAGAAGTGGGGGAGCTTCAGTCTTAGTTGTTCAACTACTGTATCACTAGCCTGTCGACACTGAGGTTGTGAGTTCAAACACTGCACGATGCAGGTGCGATTGATTCCAAACTTATTGTCAATTTTCCTGCTGAAGTTCGTGGTTCTCTCCAGCATTCTGGCTTCCTCCACCAATAAAAACAAAGTTGTGGTTGTGATTTCTGAAACAAACATGTTTGAGACTGAGAAATTAAAACTACTAAATTTCTCAATATTCAAATGATTGAAAGTTGTATGTTAATCAATGTTAATGATCTGAAATTTAATGTAATAAATTTGTAGATTTTTAAAGGGGTTAACCACAGTAGCCAACAACATGTCTTCTATGCAAAAATAGTTTTACATTATACAAAAATCATGTAAAATGTTTGTTTTTTAGGTATCGACCAGCTTATGCAGATTATAAACATGTTTTAAGTATAGACTCGTCGGTGGACATGGCACTTCAGGGATCTGCCAGGTTTGTTGCACCTGTTGTTGATAAGTTTAGTATTTAATCAGTGTTGTAATTATGAGAAAAAATATCAAATTTGATGTCGCCTTTAAGTATTAAACTGCCAAGAGTAGAGAAATATTATATTGCACAAGGTTCTGTTGTGTTGAAGCTTTTTATCTTTAAAAATTTCCAAGGTATAAGGATATGCTTAAAGCATATTATTGTTTTTCGCCGATACATACTTTATTAGCCAATTGATTGAATTTTCATCAACAGGGGTTTTGTTTAATCTCAGTTCTCCATCGGTCAAAATTCATGTAAGTCAATTATAACTTCAATTTTCTTGCTTTCCTCTGAATTTCTTATTGTGACATCATATAAAAAGGTGACCATATCTGATAGCATCACATATAAAGAACACATCTTTTTGCAGATCATTGAAAAAGAAAGATAAAGTTTGTCTGTATATTGTCTTAAAATCATTTGAGAAACAGATTCCACTACAGAATCTTGTGCAATATAATATTTCTCTACTCTTGGCAGTTTAATATTTAAAACTTTAACTGTCTTTAGTGAAGAAATATTGTATTGCACTACATGCAATGGTAGAATCTATATGTACTCCAGCCTTTTTAGATTTACTTCAAAACTCCCAAATTGACATGCTTTATCCAGATTGAATTTGAACCAGACTCCATTTCAGCCCAAAACTTGTCTGTGTTTTGCTTGAATAAATGATGATATGAGGAATTTCTGAGCAATAAATATACAATGTACATATATTGTTTTTATCCTGAAATTTACACCCAACACTTGAAACTTTAGTTGTTAAAATCTAAATCAGTCTCTAATTTTTCAAAGAAATCGACATAGTTTAAAAGCAGACCGCGAAGAGGACCCCAAAATGAACTGGTACGCAAAAAGTAATATCCACATTACCGCTTGCTCAACATGGAAGAGGGGTAACAAGAGACTTTATTTGTACAAGTACAAATAAAGCAAAAATTTATTTGTGTACCTGTTATTTGTACAATAGTTGGCTGATTGCAGGATAAATGTTGTTATAATATCATGCAAGTATTATTTGCAATTGTCTTGCATAACTTTGAGAACTGTATTACTTATTTTGATTATGAAGGTGTTCAAAACATTTGATAGAAGTTGATGGTTCAAAATGGAGAGAAAAATTACCCAGGGTTTCTTCTGTTCAATCATGGGAAATTCCAGAAATAGTAGACAGTTCAGTACCAATCACTGCACCATCTCAACGTATCAACACATCTGTCACATCATCAGCATCTAGTCAGCCAATCAACAACAGTGTTCCATCTTCATCACAAAGTGTTAAAACAGCAGAAAAGGTGAAAGATAAATCACCAGAAGAGAAATTTGATGAACTAAAGACAGAGGGTAATTCATTTGTCCAAAAGGTAATTTTATACAAGGAAAAGATTTTTAGGATACCATTATGAGATTAAATTAACTTTCAAGTCGAACTCATATTAGGCAAATGAATACAAAGCCACTTATTTATCATATATGAATAAATCTAGAAGTCTATTTGGTCACCAGGAGTATTACATATTTAAATCATTATCTGATTCAAGATGATGTCAACTGATATAAAATGGGCATACATGATTATCAATCAAAATAATGATATTTTACTCATGTATTTCCATTGAAAATTACTCTTTACTTCTATGCTAGATGCTGATGCCAGTCATTTCATTAGTTCAAGCTTAGTGAAGTTGATTCCATTAAAACAAACATATAACAGATAAGTTCAGAATACATAAATAATTGTAGTTTATTACAATTTGTTTTATTTTCAAGGGTGAATACCAGAAAGCAGTGTCATGTTACACAAAATGTATTGAGATTTTACCAGAAAAGGTTGTCAGTTTCACAAACAGATCTCTGTGTTATCTAAAACTTCAAAAGGTAGGTTTTAAAAGTTGTTAATCGTTAGTCGTTTTACAGTTGAGAAATGCAAACCTTTATGTGAATATATATGTTAAAATTAATTTTATAAAAACATAATAATTAACATTAAGCAAATGAATATAACATTGGAAAATTTCAAGTATTTTTTACCTGTGTAACTGTGTTGCCCCAACTGCGAAAGCAAGTCTAGTAAATGCTGTACACAGTCTGTCCGTCCGTACGAAAAACCTTATCAATAAAAGGCAAGAAGTATTTGCTCTGTAGAATGTAAAATGTACAGCTATCTCATAGGGTTTACTTGACCTTTATTGTTTTTATTTTGAGTTGAGTTTTAATTGATAGGATAGTTCCTGTGGCTTTACATGGATCAGATATTTATTTTTTAGCCTACAGAAGCAGAAACAGATTGTTCAACAGCATTGTCACTTGATAAAGATAATGTGAAAGCTTTGTTTAGGAGAGCTCAGGCTAGAAAGGTAGGATACTGGAAGTAGCTAAACAAGAACTTCAATTTTTAGAAAGTGCATGAATAAGAAGAATAAGAATAAGAATAAGAATATTTATTGAATCCAATTAAAGGGCCCTTTTTCGAGCATATACATATATATAAATTGCGGTTTTTATCCAACGCAATCATAGGTTTAAACGTTGTTTTCAATTTAGACTTGTTTATATTTTTTCGTTTGGGCTCGTATTATATTTGCCTTCAGTTTATATGATCCGTTCATCCTATTTCGACTCTTTCAAAATTCAAGAGTCTATCCTAAATTGAGGTAAATTATATGGCCTTCCAAATACCGTTTCGATTCCTAACATCACTGAAGAGACATTAATTGTCGAAATCCGGATATGGTAGACAATTTTTTGCACCTCATGTTTGCGGTAAACCATCTTTTCCGCACGTTTATTGTTTTCTGTTTGGTTATAAATTATTATAAGATCCATTTTGTTACATCTGGTGATCCGTTTATTTGGCAATCGCCAATGTCAGTCAGCAGGGTTTAAGAACATCAGTTGTTCGACCTGCTAGTCAAATGCGTTTTGTTAAAATATATTTTTTCACTTTTTTGGTCTTTTGGAAAATGTTGTTTGTGCTGTATTTAGACCCCTCTGCCAAGAAATTTGTTTTGCATGCACACGTATAAAAATTGCGGTTTTTATCCAACGCAATCATAGGTTTGAACGTTGTTTTCAATTTAGACTTGTTTATATTTTTTCGTTTGGGCTTGTATTATATTTGCCTTCAGGTTTATATGATCCATTCATCCTATTTCGACTCTTTCAAAATTCAAGAGTCTATCCTAAATTGAGGTAAATTATATGGCCTTCCAAATACCGTTTTGATTCCTAACATCACTGAAGAGACATTAATTGTTGAAATCCGGATATGGTGTACAAATTTTTGCACCTCATGTTTGCGGTATACCATCTTTTCCGCAAGTTTATTGTTTTCTGTTTGGTTATAAATTATTATAAGATCCATTTTGTTACATCTGGTGATCCGTTTATTTGGCAATCGCCAATGTCAGTCAGCAGGGTTTAAAAACATCAGTTGTTCGACCTGCTAGTCAAATGCGTTTTGTTAAAATATACTTTTTCACTTTTTTGGTCTTTTGGATTAATGTTGTTTGTGCTGTATTTAGACCCCTCTACCAAGAAATTTGTTTTGCATGCACACGTGTAAAAATTGCGGTTTTTATCCAACGCAATCATAGGTTTGAATGTTGTTTTCAATTTAGACTTGTTTATATTTTTTCGTTTGGGCTTGTATTATATTTGCCTTCGGGTTATATGATCCGTTCATCCTATTTCGACTCTTCAAAATTCAAGAGTCTATCCTTAATTTAGGTAAATTATATGGCCTTCCAAATACCGTTTCGATTCCTAACATCACTGAAGAGACATTAATTGTCAAAATCCGGTTATGGTGTACAAATTTTTGCACCTCATGTTTGCGGTATACCATTTTTTCTGCACGTTTATTGTTTTCTGTTTGGTTATAAATTATTATAAGATCCATTTTGTTACATCTGGTGATCTGTTTATTTGGCAATCGCCAATGTCAGTCAGCAGGGTTTAAGAACATCAGTTGTTCGACCTGTTAGTCAAATGCTTTTTGTTAAAATATACTTTTTCACTTTTTTGGTCTTTTGGAAAATGTTGTTTGTGCTGTATTTAGACCCCTCTGCCAAGAAATTTGTTTTGCATGCACACGTATAAAAATTGCGGTTTTTATCCAACGCAATCATAGGTTTGAACGTTGTTTTCAATTTAGACTTGTTTATATTTTTTCGTTTGGGCTTGTATTATATTTGCCTTCAGGTTTATATGATCCATTCATCCTATTTCGACTCTTTCAAAATTCAAGAGTCTATCCTAAATTGAGGTAAATTATATGGCCTTCCAAATACCGTTTTGATTCCTAACATCACTGAAGAGACATTAATTGTTGAAATCCGGATAGGGTGTACAAATTTTTGCACCTCATGTTTGCGGTATACCATCTTCTCCGCAAGTTTATTGTTTTCTGTTTGGTTATAAATTATTATAAGATCCATTTTGTTACATCTGGTGATCCGTTTATTTGGCAATCGCCAATGTCAGTCAGCAGGGTTTAAAAACATCAGTTGTTCGACCTGCTAGTCAAATGCGTTTTGTTAAAATATACTTTTTCACTTTTTTGGTCTTTTGGATTAATGTTGTTTGTGCTGTATTTAGACCCCTCTACCAAGAAATTTGTTTTGCATGCACACGTATAAAAATTGCGGTTTTTATCCAACGCAATCATAGGTTTGAATGTTGTTTTCAATTTAGACTTGTTTATATTTTTTCGTTTGGGCTTGTATTATATTTGCCTTCGGGTTATATGATCCGTTCATCCTATTTTGACTCTTCAAAATTCAAGAGTCTATCCTTAATTGAGGTAAATTATATGGCCTTCCAAATACCATTTCGATTCCTAACATCACTGAAGACACATTAATTGTCAAAATCCGGATATGGTGTACAAATTTTTGCACCTCATGTTTGCTGTATACCATTTTTTCCGCACGTTTATTGTTTTCTGTTTGGTTATAAACTATTATAAGATCCATTTTGTTACATCTGGTGATCCGTTTATTTGGCAATCGCCAATGTCAGTCAGCAGGGTTTAAGAACATCAGTTGTTCGACCTGCTAGTCAAATGCGTTTTGTTAAAATATACTTTTTCACTTTTTTGGTCTTTTGGAAAATGTTGTTTGTGCTGTATTTAGACCCCTCTGCCAAGAATTTGTTTTGCATGCACACGTATAAAAATTGCAGTTTTTATCCAACGCAATCATAGGTTTGAATGTTGTTTTCAATTCAGACTTGTTAATATTTTTTCGTTTGGGCTTGTATTATATTTGCCTTCAGGTTTATATGATCCGTTCATCCTAATTTGACTCCTCAAAATTCGAGAGTCTATCCTAAATTGAGGTAAATTACATGGCCTTCCAAATACCGTTTCGATTCCTAACATCACTGAAGAGACATTAATTGTCGAAATCCGGATATGGTGTACAAAAATCTTTGCACCTCATGTTTGCTGTATACCATTTTTTCCGCACGTTTATTGTTTTCTGTTTGGTTATAAACTATTATAAGATCCATTTTGTTACATCTGGTGATCCGTTTATTTGGCAATCGCCAATGTCAGTCAGCAGGGTTTAAGAACATCAGTTGTTCGATCTGCTAGTCAAATGCGTTTTGTTAAAATATACTTTTTCACTTTTTTGGTCTTTTGGAAAATGTTGTTTGTGCTGTATTTAGACCCCTCTGCCAAGAATTTGTTTTGCATGCACACGTATAAAAATTGCGGTTTTTATCAAACGCAATCATAGGTTTGAATGTTGTTTTCAATTCAGACTTGTTTATATTTTTTCGTTTGGGCTTGTATTATATTTGCCTTCGGGTTTATATGATCCGTTCATCCTATTTCGACTCTTTCAAAATTCAAGAGTCTTTATTAAATTGAGGTTAATTATATGGCCTTCCAAATACCGTTTCGATTCCTAACATCACTGAAGAGACATTAATTGTCGAAATCCGGATATGGTGTACAAATTTTTGCACCTCATGTTTGCGGTATACCATCTTTTCCGCACGTTTATTGTTTTCTGTTTGGTTATAAATTATTATAAGATCCATTTTGTTACATCTTGTGATCCGTTTATTTGGCAATCGCCAATGGCAGTCAGCAGGGTTTAAGAACATCAGTTGTTCGACCTGCTAGTCAAATGCGTTTTGTTAAAATATACTTTTTCACTTTTTTGGTCTTTTGGAAAATGTTGTTTGTGCTGTATTTAGACCCCTCTGCCAAGAAATTTGTTTTGCATGCACACGTATAAAAATTGCGGTTTTTATCCAACGCAATCATAGGTTTGAATGTTGTTTTCAATTCAGACTTGTTTATATTTTTTCGTTTGGTCTTGTATTATATTTGCCTTCAGGTTTATATGATCCGTTCATCCTAATTTGACTCCTCAAAATTCGAGAGTCTATCCTAAATTGAGGTAAATTACATGGCCTTCCAAATACTGTTTCGATTCCTAACATCACTGAAGAGACATTAATTGTCGAAATCCGGATATGGTGTACAAAAATCTTTGCACCTTTGTTTGTGGTATACCATCTTTGCCGCACGTTTATTGTTTTCTGTTTGGTATTAAATTTTTAATTAAGATCCATTTATTACACCTTGTGATCCGTTTATTTGGCAATTGCCAATGGCAGTCAGCAGGGTTTAAGAACATTTGTTGTTCGACCTGTTAGTCAAATGCGTTTTGTTAAAATATTCTTTTTCACTTTTTTGGTCTTTTGGAAAATGTTGTTTGTGCTGTATTTAGACCCCTCTGCCAAGAAATTTGTTTTGCATGCACACGTATAAAAATTGCAGTTTTTATCCAACGCAATCATAGGTTTGAATGTTGTTTTCAATTCAGACTTGTTAATATTTTTTCGTTTGGGCTTGTATTATATTTGCCTTCAGGTTTATATGATCCGTTCATCCTAATTTGACTCCTCAAAATTCGAGAGTCTATCCTAAATTGAGGTAAATTACATGGCCTTCCAAATACCGTTTCGATTCCTAACATCACTGAAGAGACATTAATTGTCGAAATCCGGATATGGTGTACAAAAATCTTTGCACCTCATGTTTGCTGTATACCATTTTTTCCGCACGTTTATTGTTTTCTGTTTGGTTATAAACTATTATAAGATCCATTTTGTTACATCTGGTGATCCGTTTATTTGGCAATCGCCAATGTCAGTCAGCAGGGTTTAAGAACATCAGTTGTTCGATCTGCTAGTCAAATGCGTTTTGTTAAAATATACTTTTTCACTTTTTTGGTCTTTTGGAAAATGTTGTTTGTGCTGTATTTAGACCCCTCTGCCAAGAATTTGTTTTGCATGCACACGTATAAAAATTGCGGTTTTTATCAAACGCAATCAT